CCCGCGGAGCAGGGAGCCCGATGCGGGACTCGATCCCAGGACCCTGGGATCATGACCTGAGCCGAAGGCAGACGCTTAACTGACTGAGCCACCCAGGCGTCCCGTGAAAAAGAATCTTAAAAATATAAACCACAAAGTGAAAAGTTTACCAAATTTGTCATCAAAATTCAGGATTTCTTTTTTTTTTAAGATTTTATTTATTTATTTGACAGAGAGAAAACACAAGCAGAAGGAGTGGCAGAGGGAGAAGCAGACTCCCCACTGAGCAGGGAGCCCGACACGGGGCTCACTCCCAGGACCCCAGGATCATGACCTGAGCCGAAGGCAGACGCTTAACTGACTGAGCCACCCAGGTGCCCCCAAAATTCAGGATTTCTATCTAATGAATAGCACCACTATCAAAGTTAATAAGAAAGTGATATTTTCAAGTCTAAAATGAGCAAGAGATTAGTAGCTAGAGTATGTAAGAAATTCCTGGAAATCAATGAAAGAAAGATGGGAACATGAAAGATGGGGGGAAAGATGGAGAAAATTCGAGAAGAGATGCACAACCTGACAGGTGGAAAAGGACAAATTTTTAGAAATGAGGTATCACTTGGGGCGCCTGTTTGGCTCGGTCAGTTGAGCAGCCAACTCTTGATTTCGGCCCAGGTTGTGATCTCAGGGTCGTGAGATCGAGCCCAGCGTTGGGCTCTGTGCTCAGCGGGGATGCTCTCTCCCTCTCCCTCTGCCTCTGCCCATCGCACTCACTTGCTCGCTCTCTCTCTCTCTCAAATAAATAAATAAATCTTTAAAAAATGAGATAACACATTACAGTCATCAGATTTGCAGAAATGAGCAAGTCTGATAGCACCCATTGTTGGTATGGGGGTCGGAAAGCAGGAATCTCTGTGCCCCTCTGGTGGAAGTATACATGAATACAGCCATCTTGCGAAGAAATTTGGTGGTACTGAAGGAAAGCGAGTGTGCAAATGCCAGTTGCCCCCTCCTGGGGGTGAACCTTACCTTCATAAGGGGAGAGTATGAGGCTGTTTGTCATCAATTTTGCTCACTGTCATAGGCAGAAGGAGGTAACCTACATGTTCTGTGCCAAAAGAAAGCACAATGAAGCGTGGCTGATGTGTTCTATGGAATAGTATTCGGCAATTAGAAGCCATAAACTAGATGCATGTACGGCAACATGACTAGATCTTAAAACCGTGGTACTAGGTCAAAAAAAGGAAGAAGCAGAGCTAGTCCTGTACTAGGTATATATTCAGAGATCCCTCTGTATCCAAGGACATGTGAAAACATTAGAGTAGTGCCCATGTGGGTGAGGAGAATGGGAAAGAGAATGGGAGAGACAGGAGAAAGTATAAAGAACACGAGAAAACCTGCCTGGGCCGCTGATAATTGTGCACCCTGAACCGTGGAGTATGACAGAGACAACTCTCTGCCCTGAAGTCCCAGGAAAAGGGAGGAATGGAAAGGAGTGGGGAAATAGAGGGCACAAGTAAAGCCAGCAAGCCTGCCCACAGACAGGAAAACCGCCCCGTGTGCAGAGCAAAGCGAGTAGACTGGAGACGCCGCTGGGGCTCACAGCCTGCTGTAGTCACGGTTCTTGGGCTTCGGACAGATTCCTCCTACAGACCCCAGCTGGGTCCTCACAACCACCCCCCTTCTGGGGCACCACAAGTGCATGACAGCCCCTCACAGAAGCCAGCAGCCTGGCAGTTATGGGGGGGGGGGCAATGTCTATTTTCAGACCGCCCAGTGGGGCCACCAGGATTCTTTCCCTCCAGGCAGCTCCCAGTCCTCCTATTCGAGTGTTGGCGACTCCTAAACCTTCTCCTTAAGATTTTAAATTCCATTTTCTTTCTTATGCAGGGCAATTTAATTTAGGCTCAGAGCCTCCACCTGAGCCTATCCACACCCCTAAATTACCTGGGCCACTCACCCTAAATTTAATCACACTTGGAAATACAGTGTAAGTGTCTCATTTGTTTTTTCAATTTCATACTCGGCCAAAAAAAAAAAAAAAAAAGCCTTGCTTGTCCAAAATACTAGATCAGTGCACAGGAAGTGAAACAAAGCCCCATCATCCAAATAATAATAATGGTAATAGTAGTAAATATCTGAGAGGTTAGTTAGACCTGAACAGTGGGGTCTGGTTCCACTGCCATCAGGACAGGATTGTGTCGTGGTCCCCGAGATTCCATGGAGAGACACATGACATGCAGAAGTCTGGCTGGTTCCTACACTTTATTAGACATCCTCTACAAGAAAGAACCATGGCCGAAACGTCAGAAAGGCAGGGGGCCTGGGTCCACCCGGGGCTGGAGGAAGAGGCGCTGAAGCATCTCCCAGCACGTGTCACAACCGAAACAGTCAGCTGTACAAGTCAGTGCAAGCCCGACAAAGTTCTGCTTTCCCCCACGATGATTATTTCTGAAGCTCTAGCAGTCTTTACTGGAGTGGTGTTTCGTTCCGTTCCTCAAAAGCATTGCCTGGGTGCCGGAGTAGCCCCTGGGTCTCCGGCCGCCAGCTCGGCCGCTCTCCGCTGCAGCGCCCCTCGGACGCGCCCCTCCGCCGCTCAGGCCTGCAGGACCCCGTTTCCCAGACGGCGAAGCTGGGAGTCTGCGGGGACGCGGGCGGCGAAGGCGGGGTCCCGCTCCGCGGCCGGGCGGAGTCGGGC